CTTGAGATAATTTCTAAAGAAATTTTAATGACTTTTTTACAAGACTTAGAAAAAATAATGTAGGATTGGGAGCCTTTGTCGTGTTCGCGAGTGTGAAATTCGCGCGTTTCAAATCAACCAAGATCGACTGTCTCTAAGAAATGAACGTCGCTTTAAGATTGCTTTATAACACTGTTCCCGTCATATTTGATTTTTAAATCACAATCAAATAATTCAAAACTGATATTCATAAAGTTCTACGACGAAATACTTGAAGTTTTTTTCGTTTCACCAAAGCTACTCAAGTACACCTTTTGTTTACATTCGGCAATTGAACAAGTGCTTTCGCTGTCCTCAGTCTCTTCTTCAATATCGGCCTTATTGCTCGTTGTGGGCAGCGGATTGGGAACCTTTGGTGCTTTTCGATGTCGTGTAGACACTTTCCAGGCAAACACCGAGGGAATAGCTTCTTTCAACGGAAAAATACGTCCACTTAGCGATTTTTTTAGGTCGTTGATCTTGAAWTGAAGATAGCATACCKTCATACGCTCGTTCAGGTTGAAGTCTTTCCCTTCTTCTCGCCTTATTGCGATAATCCACTTCTTACGAAGGTCTTTATCCTTTGAGAAATTAAAGAATGGAACTGAATTTCCTTCTTTTGTTTTGTATCCTTTCTGTGAGCATTTTGGAGCCTCGTTTTCGCATACTTCGACTCACGCCTCGCGCGGCGGTGGCCATTATTTCATTCGGTGTATAGCACTAAATATCATGAACAAAAAGCTAGAAGAATTATTACAAAGCAAAACAAAAAAGACATGACATAGTCAGTTGTCTTATATGCAGTCAATCAATGTGCCCTAACTTTACCACAGTACAATATAGAAAGTTGTGACTTGTACKGTTTTTAGTTCCTGCTTTTTGTACTGTTTTTATTACAAAGGATACTAAGTTTATACTTAGATCTTATTAACCGAGCGAGAGGTCTGCACGGGATAATGACCGAGGTCGGAATGTACAGACCGAGGTCAAGATTATCCCGTACAGACCGACCAAGCTCGGTTGATAAGAGTTTTATTATATGACCACTTTTCATTGAAAAGGACAAAATGTTTTCGCCGTAAGATT